CTCGGCCACCCTTGAGCGTTTTGAAAAATTCAAGATCGCGTCCAAGACGGCAGCCACATCAAATTATCCTCTATAGTTCTGCCGGGCTATTAAGCTTGCTAACCCTGAGAGTCCGGGCCCCAAGTTCACAAAGCCTTCTCAGACTTAAGTTGAGAATTTACTCAACTTTCAATCCCTGCTTATGAGAAATATCTTGGTTCCAGAAACACAAAACTTTGCACATAGTTTCTTATTGATGTATTTGATACATTGAAACAACACAAGTTTTTAATATAATGCGAACAATTTTGAGTAAATTCTTAATTTAAGTCTGGGAATGTTTTGTGAACTCGGGGCCGGGTTAGATAACTGCGTTGGCCCAGAAAGTTGGGACAACCTCACTCTTGCTGGTTTAACAGCTCCAGCAAAAAACAAATAGCCTTATTCTAAGTACTAGATGTATTCGTGTCCTACCTGTAGTGTAAGTCATCCATTAAATCGAATAAAATATTTTTAAATCCAAGTCACATTTGAAAAGCTTTACGTAGCAAGAAGCTTTAATGATCTGGAGACGGCATGACGTCATTAAGTCAATGATTATGACTATTGAAGCCAGTGACGCCATTTTGGTTAACCCAAAACATTAAAATTAATTGGTTGTGTGGAGTAGAGAGAGAGAGAGAGTTAGAGAGAGAGAGAGAGAGAGAAATGGGGTTTAACGTCCACTCGACACAAACTAGGTCATTTCGGGACTAACATATGGTTTAATTTTATTTCAATAATTCGCTTGCGCGTAGGGGTCTTTAGCAGTGGGAGGAAACCGGAGGACCCTGAGAAAACCCACGAGGTTGGACAGGCGACCCTACTCCTTGTCACGAACAACCGGGGATTCGAAACCACGCCAGTTGACTCAATGACAGGCCGTATGATACAGCGCGCGCACGTGCTAACCATTCGGCCATCCCCCCCCCCCCCCCCCCCCGTGGAGTAAATAAAACTTCTTTTTTAAAAAAAAAATGAGAATAACATACTACCTTATAATCCCAGATGAAATTTGTTTGACACCGGAAAATGCAACACGTCTGCAGATATAACTAATAATTTATTCAACAGTAGCCTAGCCTACATAGGCCTACAGCAGATTGTATAGATTTATAAATATACAGTTATAACAAAAGATGTAATTTCAATGAAGTTATTTTACTAAAAATAGTCTATATACAACATATTGTATCGATTTATGAAAATTTCAATTCACTGTCTGATCATAATCAAGTGTATTATTTTATAATTGAAAGATTGTCAAATTATTTTTTTGTGGGGGCGCCTTATTTTTCTGGGGGTGCAATGTACCCCGGCACCCCCGCTAGAGAGGTTATAGGAGTGCATGACTTTATGAGATGCGTGCTGGGTGGGTAAGTAGCTGGTAGGCCGTGTTTGCAAAAACAAAAGAAACCGCGAATGGTTGACGACACTCGAATTTCCAACCAGGGTATAGGGGGGGGCGGGGGGGTGTGGCTATATATGGACGTATATTGCAGCGCTACCATCTAGTTATTCATTTATTGTAATTTCTAATCAGTTATGTTCGGTGAAATACGTGAACACGTCACATTGAACTACACAGTCCATTTTACACGTCCCTTTGTTTATGGAATAAAATTGATCCATGGACCTTATAATATTATAAGATCCATGATTGATCTTAATTCTGAATATCGATAGTTTTCATCCTTTAATAACCACAATGCTTCACACCAAATTTGAAAAGAATCTGTTAAAGACAGGTTGCCAGGCAACGAAACATACGCCCACAGCAACTAAGTCGCCCGGGCACCATCCCCATAAACATTGCCACATGGGGACCATATGGGGAAAAAATGGGCTGTGGGCCCAGGTGATACCACAAGATCCCCATATAGGACCCATATTATCTTACCACATACAAATGTACCCAAATACACTTTATTTTCATATATATATTAATATCACAGAGACAAGCCAAATGATATAATGGTTACTTCATTTTTACATTGATAATCTGACCGTATAGTGTGTGTATCTGGGGCCAATATGGGATCTATATGGGATTTCCCACATTAGCAACTCTGTTTTTGTACACTTGGGGCCAATATGGTGTCCATATGGGATTACCCATGTGTGTATCTGGGGATAATATGGTATCTGTATGGGATTACATATAACTTTTATATATCTGGGGCCAATATGGTATCCATATGGGATTACTTATTTGTATGTATAAGTTCATTATTGAATCCATACTTTTAGTTTTGTGAACCAATCTGCACAGAAAGGATTATGCACAGAAGCTTGTGTGGTATGGATATGATTTAACCTCATTCATGTATATTATGTATATGGGTTCAATATGGTATCAATATCTTATCTATATGGCATCTACCACATATAAAATAATACATCTGGGTCCAATATTTTACCCATATGGGATTAGCCACACCTGTATCGGCTTCAATGTGGAATCATACCCATTGCATTTAGTAGATATTAATAAGTATTCAGAAAATTAAAATCAGAATATCATTAAAGTGTTTATTTGGGATACGTTAAACTTATTGCGCCCTCAACAGTTGCATTTACATGACAAGTAAACAGTCGCACATACAGGTGCGATTTACATTAAACCATGTCGCTTATGCTGTAATTTTACAACTACATAGATTTGTTAAGAGCATAAGAATTTTTACAGGTAAGGTCTTTTTGCAATTCCTTTATTGATCTACTTTACTTAAAAATATTTTCAATTTCTCATTTCTCCTTCATTAAAATTAAAACATAAACATTATGCAAGAGCTAAATCTGACTATTGCAGGTCTTTCTTTAGGTCTGAAATGTTATATAAACTATTAATTAGACATTTATTAAAAAGACCATAATCAACGCTCTCGATGGCATCTTATGGGTCCGATTTTCATTAGATTTGAATCCGAGTTTCTGTCCAACGCCCTTGATCAACTGCAAAAATGGATCCATAATCGAGTCTTCTTTTTATTATCGTAACAGCGAGGCTACTGTGTATATGAATCAGATTGACGCAATTTCACTGAAATTTTCGACATTTCCCATTTACATTATAATCCATTTTTTATCTATTATATCTACAATTGTCAGCTCTTTATTTAATCTTCCAAAATGTATCTTTAGTCAAACAATTTCGGGGCAGGTAACCTAAAAGATTACCGCACAGGTTGTCTGGAAATTATTTGTAGCAACCTAGATGTATTAATGATGAGACCGTCTTTGTATATTACCTGTATGAATTGAGAATGAGAAGTAAGAGATTAGAATTTAATAAAATTGAGAAATGAAGTCTTTTTTCTTTGTTTTGTTTTAATTTATAATATTGAACATGAACATAACTTTGTAACACAGGGATCACGTACAGAGGTCAATGGCACAAAATTCTTGATTAAACAATGGATCGGAAGCACATACTGATATAATACCTGAACAAAATATCCAATCTTGCTGAAAATTGGTACAAGGCATGTTTGATCGACACTCGATGTATACAGGCTGATCACGATGTCGGCCATTATCAATAAATTAAAAACAAAAAGTGTGTTAAATTTTTGATATCGTAACTGGTTATATTCATGGTGATGCGACTATGCAAATTATAGGTGAACAAATTTATCCCCAACATATCAAACTCAAAATAAACAGCATTTAAAAAAATAACACTTTTGCACTTCTAAAACCAATACAGTAATAACAAATCAGAAGAATATAACTTAAGATTAAATTAATTTTCTAAAAGTATATCATATATTAATAATATTATGAAGCCATACTTGCAAAGCTGCTAAAGCCTTTATGCGCAATATAAATAGGTACTCCATAGGAAGATGATTTATTCTACTGCGTACTGAAATTTGTTTTATATTTTAAATAAAATTAAAATCCAAACAATTTGGAGATCTTTTATTAATATTTTAGCTTACTATAGAATTAAGTGGTGCACTAATATGTACTTTGCATAGATTAAACAGATTACAGCAGAATTCTCCTTATCACACACTATAATAAGTTTACTATGAATAAAAAATAGAGTTTGTTTATGAATGAAATCGTGATACATATTTTCATTTTAAGAAATATGTATTTCACTCCACCATTCAAAATAAATGTAGAGCTTAAAGCAAAAGAATCGTAATACATTATTCTTTAAAGAAAAAAGTCAAAGAAATCTACTAAAATTGATTATGAACACAGCCTGGCTGAGGTATCTTGCTAGTTACATTTTAATGACTATAGCAGATTCTGTACTCAAATTATATAATATCTGACCATACAGCAGAGTTCATCAAATCAACCGTGAATACCTGTCAACGAGTCATCTTTAACAACCAATTTAGTCTGTTGGTCATTGGCTTAATTTTAGATTCTGAAATGCAGAAGTATATGTGTATAGCAGCTAGAAGTTAGTACTAACAAGAAACAGGCCAAAGTGGTACACATCTCTGCAATCAGTTCACAAATTTTAATCAAAGGTAAATTTGTCCCATCCTTCCTATACTATAATATGCTTAATGGTTTTGGGAGCTATATAAAGGCTATATCTGTTACTTAACTGACTTGATCATTTTGTGTGGAAATATACCTATTTATTTTATGATCAGTAGTGGAATACCGCGTTTTATCAGTGAAATAAATGTGTTATTCCACTGGCTAGTTGTTTTTACCTAAAATGATTGTAAAATCATAAAATAAATAGAACATTTGTCGTTTTGTCGTGAATAACATATTTTATTTCATCTCTAAGCAAGAAAACGTTTATATTTTCACTCATGCTACGCATTCGTGAAAATATAAGTTCTCTTGCTTCTCGATGAAATAAAATATGTTATTCACGACAAAACGACAAATATCCTCTATATATATATGCATATTGCATCAAAGTACTTATATAAAAGTTTTGTAAGAATATGAGGATGGATTTGAATAGATGTTTCTTTTTTTTCAGTTATTTTGAAAATATTGGCAAACAAGAAAGATGTCATTTCAAGAAAGGTGACTATTTACATTTTCAACTTATAACACATATTAATGTGTGTCATGGCAAAATATGTTTCTTGCTCTCGCTGGACAAAACGTCAGAAAGTTTTATCAGCTATACAACCAAATACATACAAAGGACATTATAACTGAATTTGGTAAAACTCTAGTTTGGTGCCACCCCTATACACAAAATATATGACAGCCTTGGTGTAACTACCAACCTTGAACAGAATGACAAACGACAGTCATATATATTAGTATGGACTCTATATTATGCCCCCCCCCCTCCAAAACAAAAAAATGACGAGTCAAATTTGTTGATATAGTTATGTTAGAACAACACTGACAGATATGCTTTTGTCTGGTGCCCTTTTTTCACAAAAAACTGTAACCATTTTTATTAATGATCAGGATGATGAAGCTGCATGGGTGTGCATGTTTTAAGACGTGACAACTCGCATTAAAATAAATGTGAATTTATGGAAGAATAGTTTCGTTCGATATGTGATATTTTGCAGGTAATATATAGTGCACTTACTTATTTTTTCGTTCTGTTTAAGATAAACCGACTTGGACGATTAGGTGGCAGAGATGTCCTGTCCATCGTTAACAACATAATGAAGAATCTCAGTGTCACTTATGTACAACGCCTTTACAATTGGACAGGATAAAAAGGCAAACGTGAATTAGGGGCACATGCTATAGCTACCATTGTTTTTAGTAAGTAATATTGATGATACGTCATTGTTGGAAATAAATGCATATCAATAATAGTTCTGGTACGATGGGGTTTATTTTAATGTTTTTACAATCGTTCATCAAAAGTCTTTTTGAACCCTCTGCATATTTCAGGTGCAATTTAGATTTGAATTGTATGTGTTGTAATGTGGTTTCCTTTTGAATTACAGATCCAGTCAGAAGAAATCCAATGTTTTGAAACACCACAAACAAGGAAATCAAAGCTGCAGTTAATCGTTCAAACTGGTTTCCTGACAATTTCAAGGGACAGGATGGTGGGAGATCTCAACGAATTTCAACCGTCCTAATTGAGAAAGCATAATAATAAAACAAAAAAAACCCCAAAAAACAAAAAAAAAATAATAATAAAACATGAAACCAAATATAAATAGTTTTGTACTTATTTGGTACAAGATCCCATATGAGTCCCATATTATGCCCATATTACATTTAATTGCACCCCATATTACATGACACATGGTACCCATATGGTACCCACCAGTGAATGTTATCAGGGATGGCGTGGATTTAGGGGGGGGGGGGGGACGAATAGGTCTCTGCCCCCCCCCCCCCAAGATTTTGATCGCCAGGACAGAATTTCAGGTTTATATCCACATGATGGTGAGCTTGCTTGTTACTACCTATCTGGAACTGAATCAGGACTTGGAACAAGAACTGCCATTCTTCAAGCGCAAGTTTTCGGCCAAATCTATTTCACTTGTGCACGAAGCGTTCCTCATTATGTCAAGTGAAGTGAGGTAGATGTTCCCTTCTGTCGAAGCTCTTCTCATCTCACACTGCTGAACCCTGCTAGTTCTTGCTCAGCCGAGCAATCCTTCAGCCAGCACTCTTCGCCGTATCAAAACATAGCTGCGCAACTCCATGATGCAAAACCGACTGAACCACTCGAGGGCGTGTGCGGTGCATAATGACCCCCTTCATGTCGCCAAGTAGAAATTGTTCCACTACTGTTGTTTTCTGCCTTACTCCAGCCACATCAGTGGATCGTCCTACGGGGTTCCTTTGCGCAAGTTTTTTTAGTCAAATGACTACAAAAAGTTTATTGGCCTATAGCCCCCTTAATTTACACATAAACTGACCCCAAACTGTACTGCACATAGCGTAACATATAATAAACCAATTCCCATTGAAATGCAGGTGAAGTCTTACCGCATAATTATATGATTTGATGAAACCCAACTGTTACGCGAAATTTGGCGAGATTTCATCTGGCTGGTGTCATGGCGGCTGTTCAATATGTATTTTAGTGGTTCAGTCTTCACTATTTGTGATAGAATTACCTAACAAACTGTTATGACATGTGTTGACAATTGTGCGTTTGAACCTATTTGTACTTGCGTAAGGAGTTTTAGACTGTATTAATTGTAGCATTAAACACAGTTTAACGGTACGACATTGGTAGCTAGTGGCCAAGATATTCAAAGAGAACAGTCCAGGTCGTAGAACGATTCACTTAACTTCATATATTTATGCAGCTTTGATGTAGGTAGTCAATTTTTCCATATTGTCATCATATTACCCCTAGTTACAGCCTTCGTCGAAATAACACTGGTACAGTAAGTAAACTGTTCCTAATTATTTTTTTCGTTTGGTAATGAAATGTTCCAGGTTCCAGGGTTCGTCCGTCCCCGCCAAAAGTTATGACAACCTGTGGTTTAATTTTATTTCAATAATTCGCTTGCACGTAGGGTTCTTTAGCAGTGGGAGGAAACCAGAGGTCCCCGAGAAAACCTACGAGGTTGGACAGGTGACCCAACTCCTTGTCACGTACAACTGAGGAATCGAAACCCCGCCAGTTGACTCAATGACAGACCTTATGATACAACGCGCAAACGCTAACCATTCGGCCATCCAACCCCCCTAGTAATTATCAGAAATCATTAAAATTTGTTTGGCTTCTAGTTCTGCCCTATACTAACCTATATAAAACATTTTATATCAAGGGCCACAACTCTGGAAGTAATTATTAGAGATCGTTGAAAATCAATAGGATTCTTCGTCGCATGACCTTAAATACTATGTATAAATGTAAAGTCAATTGGATATTAACTTTAGCCTCTAGAGCATCCACAAGATTTGTCAAAGTGGTCAAGAGCCAGTAATTATCAGAAATCAATAGGCTTCTTCATCTCATATCCTTAACCACTCTAGAGGGTCCACAAGCAATTGTGGGAATCGAGCGACGACAAAATAAGACCACATTGAAACGATTTATTTTCATGCTTTTCAGAAGCAAAACGTTGGCTTGCTAGCCTGGAGATGGTGTGTTCGATCCCTGCATTGGCCGAGAAAGTTCGAGATATTCTGACATGGTTTCCCATTGTCAGTGGTGCAGGACGGGGCATTTATTATCGGAAATTGCTGAAAATCAATAGGCTTTCACATCGCAATACCTTAAACACTGGGTATAAATTTAAAGTCAATTGGATATCAACTTTAGCCTCTTGCGCATCCACAAGATCTTTCGAAATGATCAATGGTCATAATTCTGGCAATAGGCTTCTTCGTCTCGTGGCCCTAAATACTATGTATAAATTCAAAGTCATTCGGCTATTCACTTTAGCCTCTAGAGCAATCACAATATTTTTCAAAGTGCTCAAGGGCCATAACTCGGGAAGTAACTATCAGAAATCGTTGAAAATCAATAGACTTCTTCATCCCATAACCTTAACTACTCTAGAGGGTTGACAAGCAATTGTGGACATCGAGCGACGACAATATACGACAACATTTCAATGTTGGTGTATAAAAACTATTTGTTTTCATGTTTTTCAGAACAAAATGTTGGGTTGCTAGCCTGGAGATCGCGTGTTCGATCCTTGCATTGGCCGAAAAAGTTAATCGAGATATTCAGACGTGGTTTCCCCTTATCAGTGGTGCAAGACTGGCAGGGAGGGGTCTGACAAGGACAGCTATCTAGTGGTTCAGATGGGACAAAAACCCAAGGTCCCTTATATACATTGGCGTGCACATAATAGAACTCTTGGCAGTTGAAAATCAATATAAGAGTAGGCCACAGTGCCGCTGCCCGGGCAAAATTTGTCTCATAGCACACTGTATGGCATATGCCGTCTTCATTAGGCCAGTCTTCATTAGCCCAGTCCGAGCAGAAGAACAGTAGGAGTTAAACCCCATTTTATTTCATTCATTAGTTAAACCCATTTCATTCATTTATTCATTCTTAGTAAAATAAAAACACCAAGTATTAAATAACAAACCATTTTATTGTCCATTAGCACTAAATATATATTGAGAATGTTTATATACAAGTATGGGATCTCTAGAGAAAGGTGGGGGAACAATTGATGGGGTGTTGGGATGGTGTGAGAGGAAGGCAGGGGGAAAATTGATGGAGAAAGGGCTGGTGGGATGGTGTACGGGGAAGGCAGGGGAATAATTGATGGGGAAAGGACTGGAGATCATAATATGAAGTGGGGAAGGAGGTGTTAGCCATCAATAATAATTAAGCCATTAAATCAAGTCAGTCAAGTTTGAGAAATAGGCCTAGGATTTAAATTAGTTTATTAATAAAGTGGGTGTGGCAAATACCATATAAAAACACATTCTAACATTACATTATCATAGCTTTGATCATAGTTATAACTTGTGATGTCATATATATACTAGTATTATTAAAACTTGTGATGTCATACTAGTATTATCATAGCTTTGATCATAGTTACAACTTGTGATGTTATACTAGTATTATTACAGCTTAGATCATAGTTACAACTTGTGATGTCATATTGTTATTACAGCTTTGATCATAGTTATAACTTGTGATGTCATTAGTATTATTTTAACTTGTGATGTCATAGTATTATTACAACGTATGATGTCATACTAGTATTATTACAACTTGTGATGTCATACTAGTATTATTACAGCTTAGATCATAGTTATAACTTGTGATGTCATATATACTAGTATTATTATAACTTAGAGCAATACAGAGAAAGCGTCTTGTCAATTATTGCCTGAATTGTGATGGTGTAACAACATGGCTTCTGATCTTAGTTCTATGTAATGGCAAATTCTTACTCAGTTTCTCGCTCTGACTGACTATAACTTATACACGTTTCCCCACCACTGACCTATTTCAAATACACAACTATCATTCAGTTCGTTTTCACTGAAACTTATTGTTTTATATGTATTAAAGTTGTAATGGTGATCTATTAAACTTACTGATCTGGCAGCAGATGGCCAGTCTCTCTCTATGGTAATGCCTGGTAAGGTCTAAAAGCCAAGACCCATTGCAGATTTTGTCATAAGTCACGAAATGTAATTTTGTTTAGGGCACAGGTTAGCTAACCCTAACCCACACCTATGACAAAATCTGCAACCAGCCTTGGCTTTTAGCCTTTACCCTCTGCCTATACTTATAGTAAAATACAAAGTCTTCACATGAGTAGACAAGATTAAACATAATAATGATGAACATTATTAAAATCTAAGAACTAGAAAAATTTGAACAATTTGATATAAAATAATAATGTCTCAATTACAGTAACGGCTAGCAAAATTTACAATTTAATTCACAACAAAATAAAGAAAAAAACACTATCTTTCTCTCAAAATATGTCTTTTAAATCTAAACATTCACTTAAAAGTCCTGATGCGCCATTTTAACCATACATTATGCAAGAGCTAAATCTGCCTATTGCAGGTGTTTCTTTAGGTCTGAAATGTTTTCTAAATTATTAATTAGACATTTATTAACTTATCCAGACCATAATCAACTCTCGATTAGAACAGTTCAGCCATATTTTGATTTAATCTAAAAATGGTGAAGCGAAGCTAAGCTTCAAATATACCAGTGCCCTGGTTACCACAATGCACACATCTTGTCAAAACTACAAACAGTGATAACTTGGCTCAAAATGAAGTAATTTGAATGAAATTTTCAAATTATTCATTTTACATTAGCCATTTTTGAGCTATTATCTCAAGAATGGTCAGCTCTTTATCTAAATCTTACATAATGTATCTTTAAACCATACTAATCACTTGTAAACTGATATTATCAAAGATGGATCTCAGTATTTACAAAGATATGTAGAATCAAAATTTCATCGATCTATGCTGCTCACTACGCAATAAGCCAGTCGCCATTTTGTTGTCCACGAAAATATAACGATGGGCCAGATTTAAATACGATTGACTCCAAGCCCAGAGATTACCTTGCTTTGTTTTCTTGAATAATTCAATCTGATTAAAATACACATCTATATTTCGTTTTGTTTTTTTATACTTTCAATGGCCTCTACTAGATGAAGATCTGACCAGTTGTATTGGGAGGTCGCGTCAGAGGCCATACAAGGGGCTTTTAACCCTAAGAAGTCAGACATTTGATTAACAAATCAGCGTTGATGTTTCTAGTGGGCTACCTACAGTTCTGTGTACCACACATCAGGAACTCACCATAACAGACCGTTTCATTGGCTAATCCCACACATCAACCAGAACGCCTGTTATATAACAACTCTTCCAGATCCTAGTGTAGTAAAGACAATTAAATCGAAATTTTGAACTATAAAAAACGAAACGATATAGGATCTGTGTTTTAATCAGATTGTGATTCAATGTTAAATAATCAATTTGATTACACATTTTAACGAGTCAATTAAGCCGTGAGAATTTTCATATTTTACGTACAAGTGCCAATGGTGCAATGTTACTTTAAATCCAGGCTGTATTATGTTACATGATGAAATTTAGTCAAATTGGTAAAGGAGAATTCATCTTTCAACAAACTAATGACAAAATTAAAGGACAAATATTTCTACCTAGCTGATATTTACCCCAAAACAATTCAATCGGGACCCAATATACTTTTTTGAATATTTTAAGTAGCTTTATGCTTCACATGCAGAATTTAGCCCAATAGGAATCCTTTACCAATAACAAATATGTCTCTTAAATCTAAACAGTCACTTAAAAGTCCTGACGCATCATTTTAAACTACGGGGGTGGGGGGGGAGTGGATGGCCGAATGGTTAGCACGTGCGTGTTGTATCATAAGGCCCGTCATTGAGTCAACTGGCGTTTTTCGAATCGACGGGGAGGGGTTGGATGGCTTAATGGTTAGCACGTGCGCGCTGTGTTGTATGAGACGGTCTGTCATTGAGTCAACGGTTGGGGTTTCGATTCCCCGGTTGTACGTGGCAAGGAGTAGGGTTGCCTGTCCAACCTCGTGGGTTTCTCCGGGTCCTCCGGTTTCCTCCCACTGCTAAAGACCCCTATGCGCAAGCGAATTATAGAAATAAAATTGATCCATGTGTTAGTCCCGAAATGACCTAGTTTGTGTCGAGTGGACGTTAAACACCATTTTTCCCTGTGTCGATATTGTAAAAGATGAGTTTATTGAAATTTCAGATCAAAAAGGGTTCAAATCTGTTCAGTATTTACGAAATATCATCCACCATGCTGCTCCGCTGTATTCAGTCTGTCGCCATTTTGTTGTTAAGAATAATTATTGATAGACTGGTTTTAAATTCAAAATTGTACAAAAATATAAATGGTGTTCCGAGGCTTACTTTGTTCAAATCTAAAGCATGATGCAGGACCTCCGTGATAACATCAGTTCTTCAGAACATCAGAACCCAGTTCTTGGGGTTCAACAAACTAGGTCATTGAGAGACTAACATATGGTTTAATTTTATCAATAATTCGCTTGTGTGTAGGGGTCTTCAACAGTGGGAGAAAACCGGAGGACCAGGGGAAAACTCGCGAGGTTGGACAGACGACCCTACTCCTTGTCACGTACAACCGGGGATTCGAAACCACGCCAGTTGACTCAATGACAGGCCTTATGATACAGCACGCACGTGCTAACCATTCGGCCATCCAACCCCCCCCCCCCCCCAGCAGAGGGAGGAAACCAGAAGAGATAAGACAGGTGACCCTTTCCTTGTCACGTACAAATGTAGGATTAAAACTTCACTTGACCACCCAATCAATATCAGCGGAGGACCCGTAGAAAACTCACGCAGTTAGGCAGGCACTCAAGCTTGAAACAATTTTCAGCAGGAAGACCCAAAGAAAACCCACGCAGTTAGTCAGGCACACAAGCTTCGGACAAATATCAGTTATGGGGACAAAGAGAAAACCCACGGATTAGGCAGGTACTAAAGCTTGGAACAATTTTCAAAAGGAAGACCCAGAGAAAACCCACGCAGTTAGGCAGGCACACAAGCTTGGGACAAATATCAGCTGAGTGAAACGTTTCTTAATAAGTTGAATCTTGGCTAAAAGTTTATTTACAACAACTACCCAATACAGGTAGATAGCCTGATAATACAATATAATAATCATTTCATATAATTACAATATAGGCCAAAAAAAACACAACATTTCAATTGAATATCTGAATAGCACTCAAGTAAAGATTTGAATATCTCAATAGCATTCAAGTAAAATCAAGATTGGCCATGATCGTTAGTAAACAATCATCTATTCTGACCACAGCCATCTTGGAATTGTCACGTATCAAAACTCAAAGTATGTCAACGGATGTGTAATTGTCCAAAGAACAAGTATGCCAAGTTTCATGACGAGGTAATTGAACTGGCGGTGCCTTAGGGCATTTTTTTTAAGTTGCCAGATAATTTTTGATACAAGCATTAAATATATTGTCAACCATCAACGCACACGTTTTTTAATTCAGAACATTATTTGTTACATTTCTATTGAAGAAGATAAAAAAGAAACAATTGATTTATTTTGGCCTAAATTTACATAAACAACAGAACAACTAGAAACAAACAAAATAAACCAATGAAAAAGCTTGTTTCAACTTGTATCCATGGACATTGAATCTAAAGGTGTTGACATGGCGTCTTTTTGTATGGTTTCAAACATGGAGGCTAATTCAGCACTTGATTTAACTTGGGTTAAAAAGTCATTCATCTGTGGACTTTTGTCTGAAGTAAAAAAAACAACAAGAAATATATTTAATCATTTAATAAATATTTCCAGACTTGCGAATCAACTTGAAAATTTATCTCTATTCGAGACTTGACTCGAACGATTTGAAAAGAGAGAAATGGAGTTTAACATCCACTCGACACAAACTAGGTCATTTCGGTACTAACATATGGTTCAATTATATTTAAAAAATTCGCTTGTGGTTAGGGGTCTTCAGCAGTGGGAGGAAACCGGAGAAAACCCACGAGGTTGGACGGACGACGCTACTCCGAGTCACGTACAACTGGGGAATCGATACCACGCCAGTTAACTCAATGACAGACCTTATGATACAACGCGCACGCACTAACCATTCGGCCATCCAAACCCCCACGATTTGAAAAGAGCCGAGGACATGATTTGCTGATTCAGTTGATGAACTGGTGACTGAATGGGACATGGGCTTTGTGAAGACTTGAGACTAGAGTTAGTACTAAATTCAGCATTCAGCAACGTGCGACTCGATTTGGGACTTGAGGTGCAGTGACTTGGGACTCCAGGTCCTGCGCCTTGTTCAAACCTTGTTAAATACCAGCATGCAGTATTTAAATTGAAAGAAATAGACTGTGTTGACCAGACTTACCAGCATCAGGAATATTAAGTAAAGCAGCTACAGCTCGTAAAGCAGATCGTTTTAATTCATCTTGTTTTTCAAATTCTTGTTTTACTGAATGAGCTTTAACTTTGGTTGTACATGTGGCTCGTAACGGGTCTACTAACCGATCTAATCCTGTAATATAAACAAGGTATAAATAGTACATGTGGCTCGTAATGGGTCGACTAAACGATCTAATCCTGTAATATAAACAAGGGTCTTGTGTTCTTAACGTCCTACTCTTCTGCACCAACTGGGCTAGTGTAAGTGCCTGGACAGTCACTCAATACTTACTTAAAGATACAGGGTGGCACCAGGCAGGGTAAGCTTACTCTTCAGGACACCTGTTACCACTGTTTGTCGTGTATTTTGTACACGGTGAACAGTCCATATGCTGATTACACTATTTTGCCTATACCGTTTTTTTTAGGACTTCGAATTTTCTCTAATGGTTTTGATTGTTCGTACTTGGTTTTATTTTATTTTACATTATGGGAGATAAGATAAAGAGATGGCAGTTCTCGCTATAATAGTTAAAAACTAGATATTGTAAAGGTAATTTGCTGAAAATTTCAGTCAAATTGATCCACTATAAGCCGAGAACAAAGCTGGTGAAATTTTCGCATAGTCTCGGTCATCATTACTAAAATTATTAATATAAACAGCATAGTCTCGATTATCCACTGTTTTGATTTAATTATCAATGGCCCTTAAGAGGCATATAGGAATCTAATCAAGCCAACATCGAAGACTAGCCTTATTATGTTCTGGATAAGTTAATTAATGTCTAATTGATAATTTAGATAACATTTCTGGCCTAAAGAAAGACTTGTAATAAGCAGATTTTGCTCTTGCATAATGCATGTTTAATAGTCTCACCCATATTAACTGTAAATTACAGCCACCCAGCCTCACCCAAACAAACTGTAAATTACAGCCACTCGGCCTCACCCAAACAAACTGTAAATTACAGCCACCCAGCCTCACCCATAGTAACTGTAAATTACAGCCACTCGGCCTCACCCAAACAAACTGTAAATTACAGCCACCCAGCTTCTCCCAAAGAAACTGTAAATTACAGCCACCCAGCTTCTCCCAAAGAAAATGTAAATTACAGCCACACAGCTTCTCCCAAAGAAAATGTAAATTACAGCCACTCAGCTTCTCCCAAAGAAACTGTAATTTACAGCCACCCCCAAAAGAAAACTGTAACTTACATTTACCCAGCAATGCCTAACAATTACAGCCACCCGCCAGCCTACATCAAGGAATTAAAAATAAAAACTTACTTTGTAAAACAGCACTAGGACAAAGATGTGACAATCTGACCAACATTAAATAAGTCAACATCTTGATATCATAGTGATCCTTCAGACCATCCTCTACATGATTTAAAAACTCAAAGATATCTAATCGGTCCAAACATGAATCTAGTAGGGTGTACATACATTCAAACGCAGCCTGGAATAAACAAATTAGATAATATTATACATTCAAACGCAGCCTGGAATAAAACAATTAGATAATGTTATACATTCAAACGCAGTCTGGAAATGGGGTGTAACATCCACTCGACACAAACTAGGTCATTTCGGGACTAACATATGGTTCAATTTTATTTCAATAATTTGCTTGCGCATACGGGTCTTCAGCAGTGGGAGAAAACCCACAAGGTTGGACAGGCGACCCTACTCCTTGTCACATACAACCAGGGATTCAAAACCAAGCCAGTCGACTCAACGACAGACTTTATGATACAGCGCGCGCACACTAACCATTCAGCCATCCAACCCCCCTGGGGGAAACTAAAGGACCCGGAGAAAACCCATGAGGTTGGATAGGTACCCCTACTCCTTGTTACATACAACCGGGGAATCGAAACCACGCCAGTTGACTCAATGACAGACCTTATGATACAGTGCGCAGGTGTTATCCATTCGGCTTTCCACCCCCCTCCCCCGCCTGGAATAAACCCATTAGATAATGTTATACGTAACATTATATATGTCCCTTGCCAGGGCCTCCATCCTAAACTATTGACAAGTGGGAACCAAGCCGGAGCATTCCTATGAAATTTCTCGACCAACACCGGGATTGGAAACCGGACTACCGCGGCTCCCAGCCTCAATAAAGTTATGTAAGGATATGAGGTCTGATGCTAGTCAGTGTTTGTAAGTCTGGGTATAACATACCTTTCTGATATCTAGACCATCATCTAGTGTGTGTTTAAATGGTCCCATCTCTACTTCACGTATTAACTCTTTCTACAAAATAAAAAACAACACCATTTATATATAGTTCATTTAAAAATACCTTCGCGCGTACTAACTGGGTGATTTGATCATATAGAAAGGAACCAAGATCTTTGGGTTATAAACTTACATTTCAAGTTTCATCAAAATCAGAAGAAAATTGTGACCTCTAGAGGGTCCACAACCTTGATATACTATATTTTTACGCTATTTGAGAAAGGGGCGGTCATATTGTCTGTCAGTTTTGGGCCGATTTTCACGAAATTCGAACTCAACCATCCTTAGGGTGTAACGGTGATATACTAAAACGTTTTTTTAAATCGGATAAAAATTATGACCTCTATAGGGTCCACAAGCTAAAAACGTGATTTTTCGTACAATCAGGGGCAATAATACAGGAAGTTTCGATCCGATACATGCAAATATCGAACGGAACCGAGATCTTTTGGATATAATCATATTTCAAGTCTCATCAAAATCGGATAAAAATTGTGACCTGTAGGGGCGATGACAATATACGTCCACATCAAAATGTGGGCGTATAATAACAAATAACTGTATAAAAATATCTGAATAAAATATGGGAGTATAATAAAAAAATATCTGAACAAAATGTGGGTGTATAATAAAAAATATCTGAATAAAATGTGGGCATATAATAAAATGAAATGAAATGAAATGGGGTTTAACGTCCTACTATTCTGCTCTGAACTGGGCTAATGAAGACGGGCATACGCCATACAGTGTACTATGAGGGAAATTTTGCCCGGACAGTGGCACTACTGCCTACTCTTATATTGAATTCCAACTGCCAAGGGATCTTTTACGTGCACGCCAATGTGTACACGGGACCTTGGTTTTTCGTCCCATCCGAACGACCATATAATAAAAAATATCTAAATAAAATGTGGGCATATAATAAAAAGATCTGAATAAAATGTGGGCATATAATAAAATATCTGAATAAAAATGTTTTGATACTTTACCCTCATTTTAGTTTCATTATACAGATGAGGAAGCACCGAGTCAAGTAGATCACGGATTAGGGAGGGTTTATTGTGAGCAGCTGAATTAAAGGTAACCAAGGCAACACGTCTAACATTTAAATCAGGATCTTGAAGAGTTTTAAGGAAATCTCCAATACAACCTCTCAATAACATATCTATAGCTTGAGGCTGAAAGACAAAAATATAAAGACAAAAATAAAAAAAGAAGTGGTACCAGGTCTTCCAGGACAGAATCTGAATATTATGACCTTTATGTGTTTTCAGTATTTAACTGTAGGTCAATCTAAAACATCAAATTCAATGTTTGATAACAGTGAGAGTACTCGCATTGAGAGAGGCAGAGAGAGAAATGGGGTTTAACGTCCACTCGGCACAAACTAGGTCATTTCGGGACTAACATATAGTTCAATTTTATTTCCATAATTCGCTTGCGCATAGTGGTCTTTAGCAGTGGGATGGAAACCGGAGGACCCACAGAAAACCCACGAGGTTGGACAGGCGACCCTACTCCTTGTCACTTACAACCGGGGAATCGAAACCACTCAATGACAAACTTTATGATACAGCACGCATGTGCTAACCATTCAGCCACCCAACCCCCCTACTCTCATTGAAATGTAGCAGTTAATAAACCTAGTGAATGTTACCCATAAAGATGTCTGTTATTATATATATATATATATATCGCTTCACTAAATGAGAGAAGAGAGAGAAATGGTGTTTAACGTCCACTCGACATAAGCTAGGTCATTTCTGTACTAACATATGGTTCAATTTTATTTCAATAATTTGCTTGCGCGTAGTATAGGGGTCTTTAGCAGTGGGATGAAACTAGAGGACCCGGAGAAAACCAACAAGGTTGGACAGGCAACCCTACTCCTTGCCAAGTACAAGTCAGGATTCGAAACCATGCTGTAGTCATTCGGATGAGACAAAAAAAATGGCATGCATGTAAAAGAACCTAGATACTTGAAATTTGACTAATAGTAGGCAAATAGGACACCATTTGGGCACAATTTCTATCATAGCATTCTACAAGGCATATGCCTGTCTTATGAAATGAAATGAAATGGGGTTTAACGTCCTACTGTTCTGCTCTGACTGGGCTAATGAAGACAGGTATATGCCATACAGTGTGCTATGAGGGAAATTTTGGCCGAATATCGGCAATACAGCCTACTCTTATTTCTAATTCTGTAACAGGTATTTTAGCTTGATAATGTTGAGAGAATACTCTTCGAAACATCCCCCCAAAAAATAAGTAGCTGTTCTTCCGTAAGTATATTCTTTAAATGGCATTTAGTAATTGGAACATAATCAAATAACACACTATTTATGGATAACAATTACTGTGGTTTATTTCACTGCGACGTTTCAACAAGATTTCACAAGTCGTTATCGTTGATAGGTCGCAGTGAAATAAACCACAGTAATTGTTATCCATAAATAGTGTGTTATTTGACTTCCGTAAGTATGTGTCAAAACTAAACAGTGTTTCTTAACTACACGTAGCACAAACTGGACGTTTTTTTGATGAATCTTGACGACGGCATTTAACACTTTCTGGATGGCAATCTATTAACTGGATACAAGTATTAGATTCTAGATGGTAAGTTCAGTTTCTTTCCTTTTTTCATCAAATCTGAATGGTACCCGGTCCCTAGTGACAAGGCCCTCTGTCCTGTCTAACTGACAAGGGGAAACCATTGAACAAATAGAACTCTACCTGATCTGAGATGGTAAATTTAATCGCTGTGACAACGGTACTCCTTGTTAAAGCTGATTCTGAATCAAGATGTGACTGTAAACTACGTAACTGGTTATCAGGGTCTATTAATGTAAGTTTACCCAGACACTCAGACACAACATTTCTTGTTCCTTCTTCCGGGCATTCACAGTGGTTAAATAACATCGACCTGAAAAATAACAATTAATTTAAAACTATCCCGTGGAGATGTAAATGGTCACTGTTTCCGTTGCACAAGTGAATCGGTTCAAAAAATTACTAACCAATATTCGCTAAATTTCTGTGGCTAACGAGAAAAATATCGTAGGATGTGACAGGTGACTTATGCTTAAAGCAGAAATTGCAAATTTTCTAAGAAAGTCAAAACGTAATTATTTCTATGTCTTTTGTTCAATAGGTTGTCAACTCACAATTATATGATCATAGGTGTCATTCTCACACTTAAAACTCATTTACACAGGAAATAATAACACAATTACCTCCCTTGTTTTCTATTCTCCACCATGGAGTAGCTTTTTTCAAACGTTTGAAAATGAAGAGGAAAATGATATTTTTGCCAATTTCTCAGCTGGCAATAGTGAATTATAGGATTAATAGGATTATTCTTTAACAAGGTAGGACTGTTTATGGATACCATCTATTTTCAGGCTTTATTTTAATAAATTCTAAAAATATAACTTAAAAATTTGCAATTTCCGCTTTAAGTTCAAAGTTGATTAGAACGATGTAAGTACTCTTACCATATAGTTTGTACAAAAGGCTTTAAACTCTCTACACCAGTTGTTGAACTTGATTCACAGCTAATGATCTACAATAAACACAGACTTTATAATTATATACATTAGGACAGGAGGGGTTTGGGAGGCCTAACGGTCCAATGTGGATGCTCTAGATCGTAAGACTTGTCATAAAGTCAAGTGGTGTGGTTTAGATGCAATAATAAATATTAGCTCACCTGTTTATGAGAATGTAATAATAGATATTAGTGTGTTTAACTCACCTCTTTAAGAGAATGTAATAATAGATATTGGCGTTTTGGTTGATTTTCTATTTCTTGTAAAACAAAAGGAAGGAATTTCTGCATATTACCTACACTAACATTCCCTGTGGAGAGAGAAAACAGACAAACATGAATATACAAGTAAATCATAGTCAATAACATTACAACAACTTCAGACATCGTACGTCATAGTTAAAATATGCCGGATCACACAGCATAACGAAATACTCAATACCATAAGTATTAGTGTACCTTCGAATACTCAAGTATAATCTCAATATTTCCGTTGCTATAGCTCTCACATTTTTATCACACAATGATCAGTCAGGTAATGCTCTAAAAGACAAACTGGTTTCATCACAATTAAAGATAGGTTGCCAGGCAACAAAACATAAGCCCACAGCAGCTAAATCGTCCAAGCAGTCGATATTTATTCTTTCGTAGGTAATTAGGGGCATTTAACAGACAATTCCATAATTAAATAGGTTCTTCATCTCACTAATGCAAACAACGCCCACACTTTGCCACTAACTTTAATGGCTCATTCGGCAAACCTCGGCAGACCATAGAACCCTAGATTCGTAGAGGTGTGCCACATGTTTAAGGGCTTTGATGTTGAAACCTGATGATATCTAGACGAGTATCAATCTCACCGATAATTGATTGATTGATTGAAGGCCGGATTATCCAATGTTAACTCAATGTGAATCGTGTGATGGGGCCACTGATTGTTGTATATTCAAAATATGGATTACTCAAAACTTTTTTGGTTGAAGAAAAAGGAAATAAATCCGGATTCAATCAAGTATTGTTTTGTCCTCTATATATTGTATACTTATATTTTATAGTTTATCATTGCCTGATAAAGACTAGAGAAGCCTAGTTGAAACGTCGCTGAGTAATAAGCAGTAATTGTATTCCATAGAATTGTGACTTGTATACTCTAGTTCAATTACTAAATGCCATGGAAACAATTTATTATCCAATTTGTTTTTCACGTCCCTCCTACAGAACTAAACCACTGACAAGGGGAAACTACTCCAACAGTGACTCCCACATCCAACCAGACTTACCTAGAGCATAGGAAGCAGCCGATTTCACTTCTTCATTCGGGGATGAAAAAGATTCTAATATAACAGACTGTATTTCACCATGACTACTTAAATCTCTACAATATATAAAACATCCTGATCTCAATATCTAAATCATGAACAAAACAAAGATCTGACTTCTATTAGATTGACCATGCCTACGAAATGAAATGAAATGGAGTTTAACGTCCTACTGTTCTGCTCCTAACCTGGGCTAATGAAGACGGGCATACACCATACAGTGTGCTATGAGGGAAATTTTGCCAGGACAGGGGCACTACGGCCTACTCTTATATCGAATTCCAACTGCCAAGGGATCTTTTACGTGCATTCCAATGTATACACGGGACCTCGGTTTTTCGTCTCATCCGAAGGACTAGACAGCTATCCTTGTCAGGCCCTCCGTCCTGCATCACTGACAAGGGGGAACCACGCCGGAAAATCTGGATAAACTTTCTCGGCCAATGCAGGGATCGAACACCCGACCTCCAGGCTAGCGAGCTAGCGTCTTACCCACTTAGCCACGTGATCCCCGCCCATGCCTACGAATCATGCCTGAACATAAGGTACCTGTCACTGACTTAGACACAAATTATCACATAATCTATATTCTAATATAAATATGTCAGTGATAAAGTCTGAATTTGTTTATAATAAATTCTTCAACATATGCCTTTATGTTCAGGCTTGCTAATGATATAACCCAATATAATATTTAACTAACCCTTTGGATAGAATTGTACTTAAAACAATATGGTCGTCATTTTTCTATCTCCTGTACCTATTTTATTATTCTGATCATTTATTCAAGATGGCCGTCATCTCTAGATCTCCTATCCTATGCTTATTTCATCGTTCTGATTATTTAGAGGTTATCTAAATATACTTACATATGTTTACCTATCTCTCCAAGAGCCAACAGGGAAAATAACACAATGGAATCGGTAGATTTAGGATTCTGGAAATATATAACAGAAAACGGGTATTGAAAACTATACAAATTATGACATAATTTCGTGAATATAAGCACTGTTCCTTATGATACTAACAGTGCATGGCTGTGAGGAGGGAACATTACACTGTAACCCATGTTTCATTTAATCTTGTGTATCTAGCACTAATTTCTTTTACATTCGTTTAATATCCAATCTTTGATTAAAAATTCATAAAACCTGTTTAAAATAACCATAAATCGTTTAATTTGTACTTGTGTCCAGTTTAAAGCTGACCATTCAATTTTGATAATGAGTGTCCGTCCATATTACAAGTGTTTAATTTCTCAATCACTGTAAAAAAAATAAACAACCCAATTGAGTAATAATATATACCGGTAATGATTCATTTTTGAACAGTGGTCAGGAAATTAAATACTTGTAAATTGGACACTCATTATCAAAATTAATCAGTCATCAGTCAGCTTTAAACTGGACACAAGTACAAATTAGATGATTTGTGGTGATTTTAAATGATTTTACAAATTTTTAAACAAAGATTGGATATTAAATGAATGTGAAAGAAATTAGTGCTAGATACACAAGATGAAATGATACCTGGATTACAGTGTTACTGAGAACCTGATGACTACCCTTATAGTAGTCTCAAATACAGTTTAAGCACATGCTGTCAGCTGTCACTTAATATGACCTGTTTTTACCCAGATTGTCTTCAATAGTGGACAAAACTGAAACCAAAACAATGAGTTCAGTCTTAGGGTAGCATTCTCCACACAGAGAACAATCTTACTCTACTTCAAGAATACATCTCTGTTCAAACGACTGCCATATCCAACAATTAGTATACCGTTTTGTAATGTAATCCTACTCTGGTTCACATCTGTTATACTCAAAAAGACTAATTAAACTTTTTTTAATTTTATTAAATTAAAGTAGAATATATACTTATCAAAATGTGCTTATGACTTAAAATGTTGGTCAGTTAGCCTAGTGTATGTTCTACTGTGGACAGGCAGCATAAATTTAGTATGTATCAGGTAGTCCACTATGACCAGTATTTATAAATGTTGCTATATAATCAGTTGAGTATCAGGTAGTCCACTATGACCAGTATTTATAAATGTTGCTATATAATCAGTTGAGTATCAGGTAGTCCACCATGACCAGTATTTATAAATGTTGCTATATAATCAGTTGAGTATCAGGTAGTCCACTATGACTATTACTTATAAATGTAGCAATACTTACTTTTATATCACACACAAACTGATTGACAACATTTCCAGCTTTCTCTGGGTTAATAGTAGTTAAAGCTGCTACACACTTCGCTATTGAATGGAAAGCCTATAAAATAATATTGCAATACAATAACAAGCATTCTGGGAGTCTCCAAGTATTGCAGTACAGGGCCTCTAACATTATCTTGTTACTAAAAATAGAAACAATTTGTTGAACAATACTGCAAATATCTTTCAGTGAATATATAATCCAAATACATACAGATGGAATAAAGCTATCTGTAACTATACTGTGTACTAAATATTCATCAAATACCTCCAAGCTTAACCACAGAAATTACCGGCAAACAGAAGCCCAAAAAATAACAGAATCCATTGAAACTCAAATTTCATCTGTGACCCTGTCACTGTTATATACCAGCAGTGTTACAACTCTCAATAAAACCTTATCCTAAAATCATTCCAGAAGAATTGAGAGCGATATTTCAGTACAAAACCCTAACCTAATTCAGTATCACATGAACAGAATCCTGCCAAAATAAACAGAATCCCCCCAAAAAGAACAGAATCCCCCCAAACAGAACAGAATCCCCCAAAATGCAAACTTGATCTGTATCTCTGCAATATACAGGGAACAAGTTGATCCATGGCATAATTTGTTTGATCATATAACTCTATTCTTACTTATGTTCCAATTCACAGATGAAACCTTGGTAATATGGGCACGTCATCATGTGAATCCTAAATCATGCAACCAATTTACAGATGAAACCTTGGTAATATGGGCACGTCATCATTTGAATCATAAACCATGCAACCAATTTACAGATGAAACCTTGGTGGTATGGGCATACGATCATGCGAATCCTAACGCAAGCTACCAATTTGTACATGGGACATATTAGTGTGCATCATAAACACTGGTCCATGCCAGTTTCTGAACCCTTAAAATTCTCATTCTGGGTACAATGTCTGAACAACCCAAATATCGCAGCGGCCCACCCACTTCAATTGTTGTTGACATACCTGTTTATGAATAGAGAATGATGAGGTGTTATTAGTTGTTAATGACGTACCTGTTTATGTATAGCGAATGACCAGGTGTTATTAGTTATTATTGACGTACCTGTTTATGTATAGCGAATGATCAGGTGTTATTAGTTATTATTGACGTACCTGTTTATGTATAGCGAATGACCAGGTGTTATTAGTTGTTAATGACGTACCTGTTTATGTATAGCGAATGATCAGGTGTTATTAGTTATTATTGACGTACCTGTTTATGTATAGCGAATGATGAAGTAGCATGTAGTGTTCACGTACCTGTTTATGTATAGCGAATGATGAAGTAGCATGTAGTGTTCACGTACCTGTTTATGTATAGCGAATGATGAAGTAGCATGTGGTGTTGGTTTCGACTGGGGGTTATAGATTGGTAATATTAACATCTACAAAATAAAACATATAAATAAATCTCTCATAGCATAAAATATTCATTTTCCATAAACATCAACAATTCTTTCATGAGAGAGACAGAAAGGGTTTAACGTCCACTTGACACAAACTTGGTCATTTCGGGGAAACATTTGGTTCAATTTTATTTCAATAATTTACTTGCACCTAAGGGTCTTTAGCAGTGGGTGGAAACCGGAGGAAGTGGAGTAAACCCACCAGGTTGGACAGGTGAACCTACTCCATGACACATACAACCGGGGAATGGAAACCACGCCTATTGACTTGATGACTCAATTTCATGTGTGCACGCATTAACCATCCCCCCTCCCCCACCCTAATTCTTTTTGTACAAGGGAAATTTTGCTCTTACAGCAGCCTTTCTCCTTTCTCTACATAGAATTCAGAATGACTATATGCCGTTCCTTAACAGGCCCTCTGTCTTGAATCCCTGACCAAGGAAGGCCCTCCGTCTTGCATCATTGACCAAGGAAGGCCCTCCGTCTTGCATCACTGACCAGAGAAGGCCCTCCGTCTTGCATCACTCTACCCCATTGTAAAAATCTTGAGGAACTTTCTCAGCTAACGTCAGGAGATCACCCATGAGCCAGACTCAATGAACCAACATAGCTCCTGAAACAGGTACAAGACCACCAACTAAACGTTATTACCTACCTGTAATAAATCTTTAAATCCTAATTTATTGAGACCAAGTTGTACGATAGATTGGAAGAATTCTAAGAGAGCGTTTAAAGCGCCACCTTGTAGTAATGGAGACTGTATTAATATCAGTATCTGTGGTAATATCTCCATGTGAATACTGCTGATTGATGATTTCTGTATCTGGGATATTGATGTCAACAGTTGTAGTGTTAACTGAAATAAAATGAAATTAGGAAAATAAAATGAAAGTAGAAACCAAATGAAAGTAGAAATAAACAAAAAGTTGAAACAAAATGAAAGTAGAAATATATTGATTGAAGTAGAAAGAAAATGTACATGATTTGAAGCAATAGGCGTTGACAAAATACTATAAGCATTTTTATCGCCCACTGATTAGCCAAAGTGATTTGCATTCAATCAAATTTTCATCTTAACGTTCATTTATTTCATCGATTACCCTAATCAACAAATTTATCGACATCGATTTCTGAAGTGATTACCACAACTCACCAAAACACCCCTAGGTGCAATTTGATGATTTGATCGGGTGGTCACATGTTTTTATCAACTATGTCCAGCCACAAGAATTGTTTACAGCTAATCAGCGTACTTAACAAACTTGACAAGGTAATTTGAAATCGACTAAACTGTCACATGTCATCTCCACTAAATTCAAATTGATTTGGCAAGTCAATAAAAAGCATTATATCTTCATCCCTCATTATCGGGCCCCCGAGTTCACAAAGCATTCTAAGACATAAGTTAAGAATTTACTCAAAATTGTTCGCCTTATTGTATCTAAAATATCGCCCTTTATAAAACTTTTGTTGTTTTAATGTATCAAATACATCAATAAGAAACTATGTGCAAAGTTTTGTGTTTTTGGATCAAAGATATTTCTCATAAACAGTGATTGAAAGTTGAGTAAATTCTTAACTTAAGTCTGAGAATGCTTTGTGAACTTGGGGCCTGAGTAAAAGGAACGGGAACAAAATGGGGTTTAGTTTAAGGAAGACGGGCATACATCACATAGTGTGCTACCTGGACAGTGAAGCTACGACCTACTCTTATTTCTAATTCCAATTGTCAAGACTTCTTTTATGTGCACACCAATCTGTACACAGGACCTCGATTTATAAACGCCTTTCGAAGAAACTAAACCGGTTACCATTAAACTAAACCATAGTTCTAACAAAACCATTTTTGTAATTCTTAAACGATTTTTTATCAATTATCTCACAATGTTTTGAAAGTAAACTATATGCATACTTCTAGCACTAAAACCCCTGTTTTAAACGTTACCATTGTTGCAGGAAATAAAGTAACTATATTTACTACCTACCTGTATAAACGCAATGAACCTCAGCTTATAAAGTAACCGTATTTACAAGCTACCTGTATAAACGCAATGAACCTCAGATAAAGTAACTGTATTTACTACCTACCTGTAAAAACGCAAGTAACTATATTTACCTGTGAAACATGGAGATCATTCTCGTTTATTAAAGGTGGCATTTCTTTCATCATGTCGTTTATCATTGATGGTGTTAACGATGATCCTATAATAAAACAAGATATCATGTCAAATAGAACACTATTACTCTGGTATCATATCAAACAGAAAACTATAACTCTAGTATCATATAGTTTTGCTGATTTAGTGGGAGTTTCTTAGGTAAGATTAGATAAAGAGCTGACAGTTCCCGCTACAACAGTTAAAAAATAGATAATGAAAACAGATTATGCCAAATATTTCAGTCAAATTGCTTCACTCTGAACTGAGATATTAGCGCTTCACTTTTAGCCTAGCCTCGATCGCCATTACTACCATTACTAGCATTTGTACGATAACAAACAAAGTCTTGATTATTCATCTTTATATCAAATTATCCATCATAAAATGTATTCAAATCCACTAAATATCGCAGACTTACGATAGCATCGACAGTTGATTATGGTCTTGTTTTGTTAATTAATGTCTTATTAATAATTTAGATAAAATTTCAGGCCTAAAGAAAGACCTGCAATAGGCAGATTTAGCTCTTGCATAATGTATGTTTAATGTTGAATAATTAATTAGTCTGCTAACTACTCAATACTGAAAGTGAAAGTAACCAGTTGTAAACCCAACACTCATTATCTAATCTAGACGACCATATTTAAAATACTCATCACAAGTTGTCATAGGGAAACATTATAATTTTTTATTAAACTTAATGAATTCTAACAATTTGTTAACAATGGTTTGAAACAAACATAATTCTTTGACTTACCGTAATTTTTGACAAGTACATCCAGACAAATAAGGGTACTAAGTTTTAGAGCGCGTTGATTTTTACGTAAGAACGAGGCTAGTATCGGAACGCCCTCATCTAATATTGGTCTGATATCAATCTTCAATGGTGAACTGAAAATAAAAGTTCATTACTAAGAACACATTGTTATTGTTATCATTCCCACATGTTACACAGAGGGGACGAGAGGGAGGGAGAGAGAGGGAGGGAGAGAGGGAGGGGGAGGGAGAGAGGGAGGGGGAGAGAGAGGGAGGGAGAGAGAGGGAGGACGATTGAGGAGGAGAGGGAGAGAGGGGGGTCTTTATCAGTGGGAGAAAACCAGAGGAAATCGGAGAAAACCGAACAGGGAGACAGCGGGGGGTCTATAGCAGTGGGAGGAAACCAGAGAACCCAGCGGGGAGACAGCTGGGGTCTATAGCAGTGGAAGGAAACCAGAGAACCCAGCGGGGAGACAGCGGGGGTCTATAGCAGTGGGAGGAAACCAGAGAACCCAGCGGGGAGACAGCGGGGGTCTATAGCAGTGGGAGGAAACCAGAGAACCCAGCGGGGAGACAGCGGGGGGTCTATAGCAGTGGGAGGAAACCAGAGAACCCAGTGGGGAGACAGCGGGGGGTCTATAGCAGTGGGAGGAAACCAGAGAACCCAGCGGGGAGACAGCGGGGGGTCTATAGCAGTGGGAGGAAACCAGAGAACCCAGCGGGGAGACAGCGGGGGGTCTATAGCAGTGGGAGGAAACCAGAGAACCCAGCGGGGAGACAGCGGGGGGTCTATAGCAGTGGGAGAAAACCAGAGGAAATTGGAGAAAACCCAGCGGGGAGACAACAGGGGTCTATAGCAAATCTGAGAAAACCCAAAAGGGAGAGCTTGGGGGTCTAAAACAGTGCGAGAAAACCAAAGAAAATTGGAGAAAACCCAATTAGGGTGGACAGCCAACCCTTTTCCTTGGAATCACAATCACGTCACATGTGGGTAATAACAATGCAATTGCTATCTAAACATCACGCTGGGGGTTATAACTTCTATCTAAACATCAGTTGGGGGAATAACAATGCAATTGCTATCTAAACATCACTTTGGGAATTATAACAATGTGATTTCCTATCTAAACGTCAATTGGGGGTAATAACAATGCAATTGCTATCTAAATGTCACTTTGGGGGTTATAACAATGTGATTTCCTATCTAAACATCAGTTGGGGGAAATAACAATGCAATTGCTATCCAAACGTCATTTTGGGGGTTATTACAATGTGATTTCCTATCTAAATAATCCGAATTTATGAAGTTCAATCTTAGATCCAATCAAGCATTCCCACCCTTATTTTCCTGTATTAAAGTGTGACCAGAAACCCTGTTCGATATTTGCGAATTGAAAATTACCTGGCTATCATAGTATGAGCTTTCACGGATGTTAATCTGGTGATTTCATTTTTTAATCTTTCTAGAAATATTGGTAAACATTCTCGTAGTTCCGAGTGTAAACAATCACCTAGGTTACTGATAATCTGACCCCTGAAAAAAAATAAACAAAATATAAATATATATTCAAACTAAAATCTAGTTGGATAAACAAATTTTATTTTTGTTTTTCCAGTTGCAATTCATTTAGTTCTGTCATGATTCGTTCAGTTCTGAAAAGGGGTGTGATGTTAGAGAGAGAGAGAGAGAGAGAGATTTTGGGA